CAGTTCCTATTGTTTGCTTGGAGCTCTCTTACTTGACCTCAGAAAACCTCCTCTGGTTGGCGGATGGGAGGGTGGACCAGGGCCACTCTCAGCTGGGTAACTGCACTGTCTGAGCAAGCTAGCAAAGGAGCTGTGATCTCCATCCTCACTTGCAGTCTCTAGGGACAACTCTTGCTGAGAAGTGGAGGAAAGAAGCCAGGAGTGTGTGGGATAAGTTTAGAACCACTTCAAGTGCCCACTTCAACAATTCCCCAGCCTGGTGCTCACCTCTGGCTGTTCCCTCCCTTGCAGCAAGGCTGGGTTTCCTGCCGTGAGAATGCCAGACGTCCCTCCCCAGAACCACTTACTATGTTTCCCCCAAAATAAGACACTGTCTTATATTTATTTTTTCTCAAGAAGACACACTAGGGATTATATTCAGGGGATGTCTTATTTTTATGAAGTATAATACAACAACCTACATTTATTCAAATACAGTTAAGTCATCTTCTGGAACCTGACAGGGGAGCCGACCTTGTTGGTGGGGCTGGCACTAGTGATGTGTGAACTCCTTTCCCCTAGACATTGGCACATGAGCAATAGGATGCCTGTGACTGTGGTTACCACATGTGCACCTGCGCAAGTGCGAATGGCTCAGAGAAAGGAGCTGTGGCAGATAAAAGGTATTCCAATCTTCCTTCCCGCTCCACGCCGAAACGCATCACTAGGTCTTATTATCAGGGTAGGGCTTATATTTAACAAATGCATAGAAATCCTGATAGGGCTTATTTTTTGGGGTAGGTCTTATTTTGGGGGAAACATGGTATGATGCTAGTAAGTCTCAAACATTTTCTCTCCAAAGATCCAGGGGCTCCAAGTTCAAGGGAAGGATGATTAGGACAGGAAGTCCTAAAGAGTTTGGAAGTCCTAAAGAGTTTGAGACACTGAACTGAGTCACTGTCATTTCCTGCTGAAGTTATCCTTTGAACCAGGCAGCACCACTCCCACACCAGCTGCCTGCTCTGGGCAGGACCCACCAATTAGCTAGAGGAGTCCCAGGAGGCCCCGGAGTTTGACGGATGTAATGTGCACTTCATTTATTTATCCATCAGCCTTCAATGGAAGCAAGAGACGAAAATAAGCAAATGGAAACATTACACAGGGAGTAGCCGGCTTTCTTGGCTTCTTGTTTATTCCTGAGCTGAGGATGGAAATCTTTCCAGAACTGGGGCTAATGCTCTCCACTTCGAAAGGAAAATCTCTTCACCTACAAGGCACACATTTCCCTTGGATTTGGATTCTCTGGCCACAGACTGGTGTTATTTGACTGAAAAAAAAAAAGCCCCCATGGGATAAAGAACAGTGGGAGAAGAAAACGGAACAGCTGCGTATGGTCTTTTGATGGTTTCTTTGTCTTTCCCTGGTAATATTTTCTGGCAGGGAAGGACAATGTTGCTATATCCAGGGCTTCCTCTAGGATCTGCGGGTGACAGCTCTGTGGGGGCGAGAGGCTGTGGGTGGGGAGCTCTTGCTTCTCTTGGATGTGAACTTCAATCAGAGGCCATAAGCGAGAACCCATAGTTTCAAACTGAGGTTAGAAGTGACCCCTTCTTCCTGGGTCATTTCTCTGCATCGTCCTGTGTCTTTCTCAGGGCACTTCTGACCCGATGCAGGATTATAGCAATTTCAGTGTGGGCCTTGTAGGCCACAAGCTTATTAAAGGTAGGATCCACCTTTTGATGTGTTCTCTATGATGCCTAACTTTGTTCTTTACACTCTGGAAACATTCAGGACATGTTTGCTGAATGAATAGATGGGGTCTGTGGATTATTGAGAGATACTGAAATAACAAGATGAGCAGAAGGTGGAGGTGCAGGACGAGTGCAAGGGGGCGGGAAGCACAGCAGGGGGGACCTGCTTGCCATTGCCCTTCACCTAGGAGAGGTGTCAGAGCAGAGCCAGAGGGAATGGAAATGCTTTGGAGGACACAGATCTTTTATCCTAATCTCCTCAATAATCCTTTTTTTAGGGCAAAAAGGACCAAGCCCTAGATCAGGGGTCCTCAAACTTTTTAAACAGGGGGCCAGTTCACTGTCCATCAGACCGTTGGCGGGCCAGACTGCAGGCCCTGGGACGAGTCAGCTGCTAAGCAGGGCAGGCAGCGGTGGCAAAAACACCTGGCGGGCTGGATAAATGTCCTCAGCTGGCCTCATGTGGCCCACGGGCTGTAGTTTGAGGAGGCCTGCCCTAGATGAATGGATGGACAGCCCATGTCTCTCTGCCCCCAGTCTTTCTGAGATGCTGCAGAGGAGCCTGACTTTGGTTTAGTTACTGTGTGTGGGTGTTGATCAGAGCACTGCTGATGGTGAATTAGGAAGTAAGTGCTTGGACTGAATCCTTTTGTCCTGACTCCCTGGTATCTGGGGCAAAACTAGCCCCTCTCTGCAAAGATGAAATGAAAATCTTTCTATTTTCTTAGGGCATAAGCTCAGGCTCTGGCATAGTAGGGACCCAATTTGTGAGCTTTTCCCGAGCCCCTAACTCATGTCATTGTCCTTGAGACACGACTGGTAGCAAGAGAGGACTGAGAATGCCTGAGGAAAAGAGCAGCAAGGTTGTTCACATGTTTTAAATTATTTAGTTGCATCAAATATTCAGATTTGTGAAACAGCAACTCTATTTAAAAACTCCAAGCATGTGATGAGTGGGTGAACGCAATGTTTCCAAGCAGTTCCCGGCTCCCAGCTCACACTCTAAGAATCTTCTAAGAGTTACTCCCGCTCATCCGGTTCAGCTCTAGGTCTTGGTAGTCACTGAAGTGCAAGTGCCACCCAATGCCAAGGACGATATTTGGCATATGCTTTTCATATAAATGAATTTTAATGAGAAATTTCATTGTGTCCTGTATCTCACCACCCAGAGAAAGGAGATATTCAACTTGGGAAGGCATGGCTGGGTGTTTGCACAGAAGTCATGGGTTATTTACAGGCAGATTGCATGAGCTTATCTCCATGGGCTTGTGCCTGAGGAATGTGTGTGAGTTTCTGAGGGTCTCCGTGTACGATGCTGCTACTCTTTTCACAAAACATCATTGTTTTAGGTGAACTGGTATGTCGATACCTTGCCCATTTACAAGACTTTTAAGTGGATCACAATAAAAAGTCAAGCGCAATCATAAGATAATATCAGGAGGATGTATCAGCTCTATGTAAAAAGGAAAAAAACTTCTCTCACACGCACGTGTCACGCATCACAAAGTTCAAGTCTACTTCCTGCTCTCAAGATGCTCACAACCAAGGTGAAGAGACCAAATAGATACGTGCATGTCTGAAAAGGCTTTGAACTTGAGGGAACAGGCTTTCTCTCAATTTTGTGATCAATAAATGCAAAGGAAGTTTAAGTTTTCAAGGCTACATCATACGTTCTATGTGTGGTTAACTGATGTGGGAAAGACCACATCTGATCAATATTTTGAAAACGCTGAACTCCAGCTCTTAAAGCTTTCAAAATGAATATTTATATATTTTACAAGATGGCTTAAACTTGGATAGGCCCATATATTTTGCCACCTGGATGATTTTGTAATTGATTTGTGATGATGATCCTCTGCTTGTATGCATTTTCTACTGGGGCTTCACCTCAAACAACGCAGGCATTATTCTAGTTTACTTCCAACCGTGATGGCTTTAAAATGCACTTCTCCATTCCCCCAGGGTTCAGAGACCTGGAGGGAGAGGACACACGGACTAGACTATCAAATCTACAGATCTGCTTCCTTCAATGGCTGATTTTTTTTTATTTGTGTCAGACATAACCAACAGGCCCAGAGCCATGCATCTAAAACTTTACTGTGCACATTTATGTCCGAGGGATCCTGTTAAAATGCAGATTCAGCAAGTCTGGGGTGGGGCTGAGATTCTACTTTCTAACGTAGTCCCAGGTAATCTCAATACTCCTGCTGGTCTAGGACCACACTGATGAGAAGTTTAGCAAGGCTACAGAGAAGAGAGCGCTTAACTTGGAGTCATAACTCCTGGCTTTTGGTACCAGCTTTGCTATTTGCCTTCCTGTTTTCCTGGACAAGTCACTTGGCCTCTCTGAACTACAGTTTCCTCAAATATAAACAAATACAGAGTAGGCACGCAGAGCACGTTATTTCAAAGTTTATATTCATACACTCTCCAGAGTGATTATTTTGATTAAAAAACCTCCACATATAGGACCACACACAGCCTTTCAGGGGGCTAACAGGCAAACCTGCATTAGCCAAGTAGGAAATGTAAGGGCTGGAGGACAGAGTACGACCAAGTCAGAGAAAGGAAAGGGGGGGCCGTATAATTCCTCATGATAAATACAAGGCTTTTATTTTTTCAAAGGGATGAATTTTGTTACCTGGAGAGAGGCTGCTACTTTCCCCCAACAACCATTTCAGGAGGAAAACTGCATTGCTGAAAATTCAGTTGCATAAGAAACTTGGACCCGGGACACAGCGGACGTGTTAGGGCTTTGGAATAAGTATACACTTGCAGGCAGCTGAAATGAGTCACTGCTGAGGGCAGTTTTCTGGAGCCATAGGGAGTCTGCTTTGAAAACAACAGTTTATCTGTGCTGCAGATCATTTCTCCATGGCCAGAAAGTCAGATCTTTGGTCACTGCTAACAGATCTAATAGGGACAAAAATAGTCTCCTGTAAGGGTTCAGGAGAGCAAAGGTGCTCCGTGTATGTACACAGGAGTTCAAGTGGGCAAGGGGAAGGAGGGAGGGAGGGAGAAAGGGACACAGGCGATTTAACTGAATGAAGGAAGCTCCTGACGATCTGAGCTGGCAGCGGCGGCCCCTCCCAAGCACTCACGCATCTGTGTTTTGAGCCACAAACAGGGTCAGTCAGAAAGGGTCCCCCAGGCTCACGCATACAAGCTAGTTTCTCTTTAAGTCCCAAAGCAAAGTTAGGAGAACAGAGAGAACTCCTGGTGAAGGCGTCCTCTCCCGGCACTGGGACGGGGAATAGAGGAGACTTTTACCTTGTGGAGGACATGCTCGCTGAAGACAGGGCCAGCTCCCCCCTGGTAGGAGTCGGGTCTCTGCAGGTCCATGCCCAGCTTGGAGCTCGCTGCTCCGCTGTCCCAGCGCTCTGCGTCAGCGCTCGCGGGAGCAGGGTCCCGGCTCCGCTGGCTGTGGCAGGCTCCGGGCTAAGCCCCGCGGTCCGGGCCGCATCCGTGTTCAGCACTGGACAGTTCCCGCAGTGGCCGCAGCGCCGTACCGGGAGGGCCGGCTGCCGCACTCTTCCGTGCCCGCGGCGTTTCAGCACCAGGAACAGCGACACCGCCCCAGTGCACCTGGGACCGGAGTTCCGATATCCCGTCCGCTCCCAAGTCTGTCGCGTGACTCCGGGATGCTGGCAGGGACTCGGGATTTGAGTCCAGCTGGTGGTCCGTGGGTATCTCATTCAGCGATTGGACTCCTGCGGCTCAGCGACCCTGCTGCGTTCTCGGGCCGTTGCAGTCCCGGGAGCTCGCGGCTCCTGATGCACAGTGAACAAGCACCTTCGTCACCACACAGCCCAGCCCAGCGCTCCTCCTGCGTTTGCAGAGACGAAGTCTTGCAGCGCTGGCCACGCTGGTGGCGCTTGCGGCGCTTCTCCTTTGGTCCCTGGACAAGGAATTCCCTCAGTATGTGTGAGATAAATTGCAATTCTAAGCCTGAAGTCCATAGACGATGGGCTTGAGGGGTCTCTCCCTGGAGTTCCTGAAAATACAAAATTCTGCTAAACTGCATTTTCTTAGGGAGAGGGTCCAGAGAATTAATTACACTCTGCAGGAGACATGATCTCAAGAATTAACAGCGACTGGTTCAGGAGAGGTAGAATTGTGGTTTTGTTAAGAGCACAGGCTCCAGAATTCATATCTTGGTTTTGAAAATTATTGGTTGTGCAATCTTGGGCAAATTACTTACTTTCTCCTAAGTGTCCACAAAATGGAGGTACTAATTGGACTTGCCTCATGGTGTTGCTCTGAGGATTTAATGAATTAATTCATGGAAAGAGGCTAGAACAGTGCCTGGCGTGTACTAAGAACTCAATAAATTTGAGGTATTTTGCTCTCTGGGTAGGGGATGGTGGCTACACCCCCTAAGTACTCGGGAAGTTCTGCTGGAGGACCTTTAATAGCAGAGTAGTCACCCTCCAGAAGGACAGCATGAGGCGGACTACTGTGGGAATTGGGGCAGGGATTACAGCCTCAGGAGTTAGCCTTACATGATGGCCCTCTCACCAGGTGGCCACCTTCCCAGGGATTAGAACTAGTGCCAGTGGCCCTTTAAGTCTATATTACCATGGAGGAGAAGAGCCAGGCTCAGGGTTAAAAGGGTGCATTTTACCCCTGGGTTTCAGTTCCTTTTTGGCTAGGTTGCTGCAGCCAGATGGCTCATGCTCCCTGGGGTTTCTCATCTGTAAGATAGGTCATCTATATATACACTTCATTGGATTTTTGTGAAGAATAAATGAAACAATGCATTGGAAATCTTTCTATTTTTAAACACAAAGCAAATTTCATTTATAAGGGGTTATTATTACTGGAATCTCTAGACTATAAATACTTGATAATTTTTTTTTCTTGAGACAGGTCTCATTTTGTCACCTAGGCTGGTGTGCAAGTGCTGTGACTGTGGATCACTGTAACCTACAACTCCTGGGCTCAAACAATCCT